CATAAGCTGTGATAACAACACTTTGTTTTCAAAGTGTAATAACAACACTATGAGGACATCAGAACTATTATTGTACTTTCTTCGACCAATTAAAGAAAGTAAGACTCAGAGAGGTTAGATAATTTGCCTGAGATCTTATAGCCAACATGTGGAGGATGCAGGATTTGAATTCTGACTCCAAAGCCGATGGTCTTAGCAACTCTACTATTAATTCTGCCTGAGGGAGTTTTGTCTGGCAGCCTGTCAATTTCTTTTTTCTAGATTTTGATTCTGAAGACAAGATCTTGCCCTCCTTATGAGTTCTGGCTCGTCCAGAGTCCCTGTGTCAGCAAAGCGTGGTTGTAGGATTTTCTCATCCTATTTGTTCTGTGAAAAATCCGAGCCCATTTGAGTGAGGAACAATTGTAAGACAAAACATATCAGAAACAGGAACCCTTATCATTCCTGACAGCTGGGTAGACAGATACATTCAGTGAAGAGACTGGGACAAGATTGCCTTTCAGGACGTGATGTGAACTAGGGACCTTCAGACTTTGCCCTGTCTATCACTAAACAGAATACAAAGTGTGAAACCCCCCCCTTACTCTACCCACTGTTAACATGAAAGGCATGTCTTTGATTGCTAAAGGATGGCCAATTCTGTCATCTAATTACACATAAGAGGGTGGGAGCAAACTTTCAGTTCCTGTGCACTTAAAGAAAATACATTCAGTTATTCAGTGGCAAGTTCTCAAGAGTCAGCTGTGAGTCAGCCTGAGACCAAGCTGATTTTGAAATATTCTGTTGAATATAGGGAATACAACAAGTTTTTGAAGTCTCAAAGCATATGTTTATGAGTGAGAAGGGGGAAAGAGAGGTAATATTGATTCTATGGTTTGAGAAATCCTTATGGATGATCAACTTTGTAACCTATGTATCCTGTGATAGACTTTAAGAATCTGAAGTTGAGTAAGATAGGATCCTTCAGAGGGTGACCAACTGTCTTGTTTTACCGGGGACTGAGGAGGTCCTCAGGATGAAGGACTTTCAGTACTACAACTGGGAAAATTAGGCAAATTGAAGTGATTTGGTTAACTGACCTGTATCCCAATGTGCTCATAGCAAGACAATAGCTATGCTAGTATGCAGTTGTGAAACAGCAAATATATTATTGAGAAATTATGGAACAATAACAGCAGCTTTTTCTTCTCTAGTGCTCTTTTTCAGCCAGGCACTATTTAGAATAATGTTCATCAACTCTCACAGGTAAATAAGCACTTTCATTTTTGCCATTTTAGGTACTAAGGAACTGAGAGAACCCCCAAGGGTGCAGATCTGGTATCTGGGTAATTGGACTGAGATCTTAGATATCTGTTTTTAAAAGATTTATTTATTTCTGCATACAAGAGCTGGGATATAGGCTAGAAGTACAAGGAAGTGAGAGAATTCACCAGAGACAGAGCAGGGAGCAGAGCAGGCAGATCTACTGAAATACATTGCTGAGGGGACCACCGGGGGAGACATGAAAGGTCTGCTGTGCCACGTGGGTCACCTCCCTGGCCAGGGATTGAACTTATGCTGCAGTGGCTGCTGATAGCTTCATAGTGCTGAGGCTTAACCACTTGTGCTACCAGGGAGGCATATCTTTTTTTTTTATTACAAAGTTTATTTTTACATCATTTTGCACATTTTTTTTCCATCTCTATTGTAATCCCCGCGGGTTTCCCATCACCAAATCACCCCTGTGCCACCACCATAGTCCCGTGCATTTCCCTCCCTTCCCCCCACCCCCGTTTTTGATCCCATTCCCCACTCCACCCCCACAGAATGTCTCTGGTATATGGTTGTTCATTATTTTTGTTATTTTCTCGCCTGGTCTATTATACTCCTGCTATGAGTGAAACCATCCGGGATTTTTCTTTCTCTTTTTGGCATCTCACTAAGCATGATCTTTTCCAGCTCCATCCAAGTTGCTGCAAAAGACATGTGTTTCTCTTTTTTGGTTGCTGAGTAATATTCCATTGTATATATGTACCATATATTTCTAATCCAGTCATCTACTTTTGGGCATTTGGGATGCTTCCATGTTTTTCCAATTGTAAATAAAGCAGCAATAAACATGGGGGTACAAGTATCTTTTTCAATCAGTGTTTTTGTGTCTTTTGGGTAGATACCTAGGAGTGGGATTGCTGGGTCGTAGGGAAGCTCCATGTTTAGCAGTTTGAGGAACCTCCAAACAATTTTCCATAGTGGTTGTACTAGTTTGCATTCCCACCAGCAATGCAGGAGAGTTCCTTTTTCAGGGAGGCATATCTTAATGGCATTTTTAAAGAATTACTCTTGTAGCATCTAGAGGGTGGTTTGAAAGGGAGAGGAGGATGTGCTGGGATCAGTCACAGGGAACAGCCAAGTATGAAGCACCTGACACATTTTCCATGATTGCTGGTGATTTAAATATAGCATTTCATGACAGTAGGCTGGATGACAGTGGACTGGACAAATTAAAAAGATGAAGAAAGTAATATGGACCAGTCTTGGTTTTTGATTGGGTGGAGGAGCTAACGAAGTCAGAAAACAGAGTAAATTCTATAAGCCTTGCTTTGTTGACTGGTTACATAATGGTTCAAAAGGAATACTGAAGGAAGAATGGATTTAAATGGCAAAAGAGAATGAGTTCAGTTTTCCACCATAGGCATCTCTAGGGAAATTTGGATGGTGTTGTCTAATGTACAATTTCCATAAAAAGAAGAAAATATCTTATACTTAGCTATTTGATCAAAAAGCTGATCTGAAAGTTCTCAGAAACAGATTTGAAATAAATAGAAAGAAGAATCAGTGTACCATTAATGCAACATCTTTTGGATTTCTCATAAGGTTGAAAATATTTAATACATTCACTTGTGATAAGGTATGAATGAATTTTTTATTCCTCCTGAGAATATGTGTGTTTTATAAAAGACAGCAATACTTAACAGTTCCTGATGAAAGAATTTCTAGACACTTTAATCTTAGAACACATTTTCTTCCTTCTTCTTCTTTTTGCAAATGAACTATCTAAAATCATGGTACAGTTGTAGTGGTACATTCTATGTGATTAGCTATGGGACTAATTAAAATAACTGAAATTTGCTATAAGTTCTATACATGGATTCTACTCATCTTTGAAATAACTCCCCCAAGTACTTGCATGTTTGTTTCAAAATATGAAAGATCTTCAGTATTGCAATTCCTTGGCATTGCGAGTATAGAAAATCTGTTTTTACTCATAAATACTGGGAAAAAATATTAACACACTTATTTGAATTTGAGATTTAATTTTTTTTCCACCTCTCTTTTCCACTTCCAAGCTCTTAAGTAAGACAATGCCTCCTCAAACTTCTCTGTATCCCCTAGACTGTGGACGGGGGCATACATCTCCTCATCCCCATATAACTTCTCATCTGTAGGTTTTTGAGGCATTGTCTCTAGATTAAAGTTCATGAACAATGATCTTGACTACCTATTGACCCTTTAACAAGCGTGCTATGTGGTACACCATGAGACATTAATTGAACCTACAGTGTCTTCTTTGAAACAATCATTAATGAAGGAGTGGAGGTCTAGGGAGATGAAAGGAATTTCCCGAAGACACACACAGTACTACTATCCTGCTATTTCACCAGTCTTCTAACCACTAGGCACTTCTGTCTCCTTCTAGCTGGAATGCCATCACTTACAAACTAGCCAAGTCACCTGGGAGAATGGCCTGCTCTTATGATTGAGTGACCTGGGGATCCTTTCTACTCGGCAAAACTTCACCCATCCCTCAGATTTCCTAACTTTGGTTTTTATTTAGAGAAGCATGCTGCTCACTGTTCCAACACCATCCATCTTTGTCAGCACCCAAGGCCACAGCTTCATTTGAACTGCCAGTGATATACTGCAGATAGAGTGCACCCAAGACATTAAACTCTGTATGACATTTATATGGACTTTGAGCCCACCAGAGATGGATTGAGGCTGCCATAAAGCAGCCAGGTAAACAAGAGACTGAGGCGGCATGCTGGTGCTGGTGCTGGTGCTGCTGGTGGTGGTAAAAGCAATAACTTTCTCCATTCACTTCTCTGCAGAGGCTCCTGGACATCTTATTTAGGAAATAAATCAACTGAGTATGAACTGGGGTATATTTCTTCCAGTATAGAAGAAACCTCAGCCTTAATTATCAATGATAATTAGTGTGGGTAACAGGATAGTTGGTATTGCAAGTATAGATCAGTTATTACTCAAAAATATTGAAAAAAATTATCAGTGATAATTAGTGGCCTTCCAATCAATGTGGGTGACAGTATACTTAGTATCTCCCACACTGAACCCTGTGTACCCTAACAGCCATATATCTTCATGGAATAATAAAAGGGCCTAAGCATCATAGATGCAGAAGTGTCAGTGAATCAGACAAGATGTCCACGGATACCCACTGTGTCCCCTGGCAGGGACAACATCATGGTCAGAATGTTATTTATGGGCACGTTCTTCCTTGAAGACATAATACTGACATTCCATTCTACAGCCCCAGCCTGCAAGCTGGATTAAAGAGGGCAGTATGCCTGGATTTTTGTTCAAGATTATCAGCATGAGGGGACCCATCTCTACCTGGCCCAACAAGTATTTTGTAGGCACTTGAGAAAATAATTAGAAATGATTTTATACAGCAAAGAATATATTCTTTTTCATAGCTGATGCTAATCAGTTATGCAAGCATTGATGTCCTTAAGTTTGCTGCCAGCAAAATGCCCAGCTATCAGAAATGGGGCTTCCTCACCCCCATTCATGTACCTCTCCATATGTACGCATCTATACTGTTGCAGACCACTGTACATATACTATGTGTGTTTTTCGTGGATTGCCGGCGGCTAACTTTGGAGGATGCAACATTCTTATATCATTGAAACCACAACAACACATACACATTTAAAAAATAACCAGTGTTTAAGTAAGAAAGCCCACCTTCACAAGAAAGACAAACAATAAATTTGACTTACCAGTTTAGGCTGTTCAAGGCAGCAGGGGAACAAGTTGTTGGTAATTGTCCAGAGCTTTCATTCAATAAATCACATTGGCTTTGCTTTCTCCTGTGGCTCAGCCTCTGCGCAAAGCAAGCAAACCTCCTTGCTAGTCTGTGTAAAGAATAAAATGCGAACAGGATTACTACAGGCAAGAGCCGAAGTCCATGATCACTAAGCTACTCTTAATGCAAAATAAAAGAGCAAATGATGCACAAGGAGAGAAGGGGAGAGGGAAACAGCTTGGCTTAGGAGCTAGGTGTATTCTCGGGGCTGCAGCCCTGGGAAGGTTTGATTTTTCAAGCCCCTGTGCATGTAGTAAAAGGATACCATGACTTCAGTGTATTTTTTAGCCTATTGTGTCTGTCAAGTCCATTAGGAACGGTGTGCAAGAACAATAAGCCTCACAGCCCTGCATCAGAACTGACTGTCTTTCAAAGATGAGCACAGGGACAGCACTGCAGCCAGTTAGCCTGGCACTACCTCATCTGCAGGGAAAGAAAGACTGCCTGGCACCCAAGAGCCCATCCAGCAATCTGTGGCTGCAAGTGATGGATAGCTCTCCTGTGGCCAGGCATCCCCTTCCTCCAACATTGCCTGGGTCCGGATGCATACCTGTGGTAGTCACATCCCCTCACCTGAGGGCACCTGGGCAATCCCTACAGGTTCCCTGCAGGAGCAAGGGCATCCTCGGAGAGCTGCCCATCCAGTCGGGGCTGCTCAAGCAATGCTCGAGCTTCTGTTTGAGTAGATGCTGATAAGATAGTCAGCAGAGCTGGGACTTTGGACACCAAGAATTAAGTCTTAGGAGGAAGATTCCAGCGCTACTTCTATGCTGGTCACACATGGATGCACCTGGCGCTTTTCATGGCATTATGCTTTACATGACTAATGCAACACACAAAATGGATTTCCTAGAAAGCCGCTTAGGTAGGCATTTTTCAAGTTTCTCTCTGCAATAAAATGGCAAATGACCTTTTATAAATAAGGCTGCCTATTAGGGAGACATTGCTGATTGAGACACATCTGAATACCATACACACACACACACACACACTCTCTCTCTCTCACGTACACACACATACGTCCCTAGCAACAGCATTACGAGTTTATAAAGCTCTATTCAGCTTCTCTTTCTGCTCAGCTTCTGTGATGACTTCAGAAATAATTTTGGACCCTTCTACTAGCACTAATCTGATCTGTTATTTATATCTAATGTTAAATTAGCTCCCAACTTTTTAATGTGATTCTGTGGCAACTCTGCAGAAAGTCTTTAGGTCATAAACAAGAGGGTGGAATGTTTTTCCTTGGCTGTAATTAATTTGAATCTGGAAAAGGCATCTCAAATTCCTAAAAATGTCCCCTTTCCAGAGACGTCATCTCACCCAAGAAGCTCACCCTTCCCTGACAGGTGACATGCTGGTGTTGGAATCTGAGGTGAGACTTGGTGACTTATGAAAATGGGTGTAGTTTCATAAAGCTGTCTTTTTCTCTTCTTGTTAAGAAGTCAATTTCTCCCTGGGTCCTTCACTCTTTGCTTCCTTGAACTTATTTGTTCATGAAGCATTATTACAAATCATCTAACTTAGGGGGATATACATGCCCATGAAGCTCAGAAGGCTATTTTGTTTTCATTATAGATTAAAAGATCAGGGTACCCAGCCAGGTAACATTTTACCCTCATCTCTAGAAGAACATGGACTTTCATGCCAATTCACTTAAATTTCACCTGTTGGAGTAGTCAGGTGGCCGAATAATTTCACAAAAGGTTAGCAGCCTCCTCACAGAGGTCATGAGTTCAATCTGCTGTGCAAATTTAAGGGAATGATGCCTCCTATAACTGAGGGATTTCTTTCTGGAGCAAATGCTCAAGTTTGAGTCACTCTGTGAGCTCATGTCCATTGCAAAGGCGAGCTGCTCATTCATCCATTCTTCAACAGACACTTATTAGGTACTTAGTCAGTTAGACAGCCTTGCCAGATACTTTAATGTTACAAAAGAATAGTGACGCAGTACACTCGTCAGCATGCTGTAGCAAAATTCTCCATCATGCAGTTCTGCCTACTCTTCAGCCTAATTTCTTCCCACCTCCCTCCTTGGATTCCATGCTGTAGCCTTTTTGAGTGTCTTTCAACTTGTTAGAACTGCCATGCTCTCTCTTAATGGCAGGTTTCTGCATGCAATATTCTTCTGCCTGAATGCTCAGTCTCATTTGTCTGGTTATTCATATATAGCCTTAAAGTCTTGGCTTAAACATCACCTGTCAGGGATATTTTTCTAAGCCCTGGACTGTTAGGTTTCCTGCTCTGTGGTCCTATAACACTTTATACTCTCCCATCACCCTGTTAATCACATTTTGTTGCATTTACTTGTTTAACACCTGTCTTCCCTGTTATACCATAAGAGTTTAAGAGCAGTCTCTTCTTCATTGCTGTATTTCCAATGCCTAACACAGTTCTTGACACTTAGAAAGCATTCAGTAAACATTTCATGAGCATTTTGTTGAAGGGCTTAGCATTAATTTGGCAAATGAATAAATAAACCATCACAAAGGATAGTGGGGTCTGAGAACTGAAAGGACGCTAAAGTTCACTGAGTGTCTCTAATTTAATGAAATGCTCTCCTCCTCTGATTACTCTATACCTGCTTGATTGATCTCAACCATACTGATCATATGCTCACTTTCCCTCCCCAGGACGTTTACAGTATGTTCTTGCTTTTTGTCCTCCAGCTGTTTCCAGAGTGTGTCTCATCTCGATAAACTGGCATTCTCCATAATGCCTAACATAAGCCTGCAGTTATCAGATGCAAGATTCATTCAACAGCAAACATTTGAACAGGGTGTTAAATGATCTATCTTGTTTTAGAAAGATTACTGTGGTATTAGGGGAAGGATGGACTGGTTTGGCCAGGCCTAGATAGGTCTCCAATAATGACCACAGCACAGTGTTAGGATTTCAAAGCCATTTTGCCCTGTCTTTCCCTTCTTTCCCTCGCATCACTTCACCTTCCATATCATGGTACTGATGTTCTCATTTTCAATACTCAGGATGTTTGTTCCATACTCAGCACACCCCTTTCCTCCCTATCCAATTCTACCCCCACAGTTAGTTCACTTGCTTAGGTTACTAGTGAACAGGGCTGCTTGATTTAAACTCCTTTGGAGAAGATTGCATTTTAGTTATTTCATCTCTTCCTCCTCCAGTGCTCATTACATTGCTAGCCTAGTGCCTTGCAGATAGTAAGTACTCAATAAATATTAAGAAAAAAGTGCACTTATCTGCAAAGTATTGGAGGAAGCACTACGGCCAGGAGAGGTACAAAGATAAATGAAGCATCTTTTCAAAGAATGAGGCATTTTTTAGAATGAGAATCAACATATAATAAAGGACAACATGAAATAAATGCCATAAAAAGTTTGATCAATATGCTCAGGGAGCACAGAATGTTACAGGGTAGCCCAGAGTGGACTGGGCCGCCTGTCTCTGGGGCCTCAACTGCGCACTCACAATAACCTGCAGTTATACTGCAGGTACACACAAAAGAGTAAATAATGGGTTTATTTACAAAAGGGGAAAGGAATAGGAAACAACCCAGGGAAAGAGAGCAGGATACAATGTAACTGGAATACCCTACCGGCTGGGCTGACTGAAAACACCTAGTTACCCGGTCAGGAGAGCTGCTTCCTGAGCGAGAGAGCAAGAGATGCAATCGTGCCCTAGTTATCCCCCAAATGTCCCAGAATTCCTGCTAGCTTCGCCCTTGGGTCTCCGCAGTTCTCTCCCTGGTACTGCTGGGAGTTGTAGTTTCCAATCACTGGAGTAGTGGGTAGGGTACAGAAAGCTGGAGTAGGAGGTGGAGTCCATAAGACTCTACAGAATTCCTTTAGGACATCCTTCCCCTTAACAAGAAGAATCAAAAACCCTTTCTGGGATGCTTAGGAAAGGTTCACAGAGCAAGTTAAATTTGACCTGAATCTGGAGGAATTAAGATATCTAGAGGAGAAAAAGAAGAGCGTGGAGTCTAATACAGAGTTCCTATTGGGGAGTGATGAGTAGTTAGTTGAGCAGGACAGGCGTAACGGAGTTGAGCCCCGGAAGTAGGAAGGGGCTAGACTAGAAAAGGCTCAAATACTTTTTGGACTTTCTCCTTTAGGGGCTCAGTGGGCATATGCCAGTGTAGTGAAGATCTTTTAGGTCTAGCCCTTGGGAGAGCTGTGAACTAAGATGGTGAGCACCTGGAAGCAGGAAGATGTTGGTGGTGAGGGCCTAGAAATGTGAATTAGGAGATGAATGGGAGATGTACTTGGAGTAAAACATACAGGACTTCTCAGCAGTGCAGGATAGGGTCAGGGAGAGAGTGGGAAAGAAGTTGAAGACGACTTAAGTTTCAGCATGTGTGATGGCAGCCATGTGTACAGACAGGAGGTTTGGGCACGCATGCCACTGAGTACCTTTTGAAGATAGAGAAAAGAGCAAGAGCCAGTCCCCGGGAATGTGCCTGGACTGCTTTGAAGAAACGATTGGTAGCAGCTAAAGCGGCAGTTCAGGCTGTGACAGATGAACTACCTCTGGCAACATGCAGGGTCATTTGCAGGGGAAAGGGTGTAGAGTTTCCCTACAAAGAGGACTTCCTGATTAAATGCGAGTTTGCAGTTTCCCATTGGAGTTGTTTATCTCAGTGGAAAGAATCCAGGTTGGGATGGGCACTGTGAGTTTCAATCCTCTCCATGTTCTTCACCAACTGCATGACCTTGGGCAACTTACTTTCTATCACTACGTCTCAGTTTTCCCACTTGTAACATGCGGGATTTGGACCAGCAAAATCCAAAATTTCCTTTTAGATGCTGTTCTCTGATTTTTGAAGCGCGCAACATATTTGTGAAATGACGGTGGTAGTCCACCAACATCAGAAGGCAGCAATGTCCACTCTCTCCTGAAAATCGTGCCCTGTGCTTTGAGAATGTCCATATATCATTGCAAATACATGTCTGCCTTGTGGTTAGTTCCATGTGGTTTGTTTGTAAGACATAAATTTAAATTGATCACTTTTTGATGACCATTTTCTACCAATTTTTCATTTTTTTAAGCAAAGATTTTTTTTTTTTGAGGGTGCCTTTTCATCGGCGTTTCAAAATTAAATTATGGAAAGAAAGCGGCAGTCCCTTACTGTGGTCAGCAGAGTCTGGCCAGCCTACTTCCGCTCCCTAATCTCCTGACCTTCCTTAGGGCGCGGCTGCTCAATAACGCCTCCGATTCTTTTTTCAAAAATAAAATGTGCTACTTATCGAAAGCTGCTAAAAAGGAGACAAAAAAAAATAGGAAAAGAAAAACTAACACCACAGGGTGTATCTGAACATGCTTATTATGTGCGAAGTTGTTAGTAATGAATGTGGAAACTCTTCCTCCTCCTCCCTCTCAATTTCTAAGCCCCAAAGAAAAAAGAAAAAGGGTGGGGGAGGGCATCGTCTATTCAATCCAAAGCAGACCTTTTCAAAAGGTGCAGACTGTTCATAGGCAGGGTATTTCTTGATTATTTTGTTTTAAGCACCAGTTGACCTTTCTGACTGAAAGTAAAAGTTCCAACATAGCCTGAGAAACCCGCTTTTGGATGTTTTTTCCCTAAGGCTTGGCGACCCGACTCATGACATTCAAAAGGCGCTTCAAAAAGAGATGGTCCGGATGACTTCGAGTGTGATTTGATGACAGAGTGTTTATCTGAGCTAATCATGTGAGATTTTCCAGTGTCGCATTTTTGAGAAATGGGATTCTCTTAAGGAGGTTACAAACACTTCACTGAAAGCTTTCCAAGAATGGTTTCAGACCGCCTCTCTCAGCAGCCTCTCGCCGGCTGGAGCACCGATGTGATAATCAGGGTCCCTGCTTCTGAAAAGTCTTCTTGTTCTGACTGCCACCCTCCTTTCAGTCATCATTAGAATTCTCCAGCTATGAATCCCCTATTGTCTGTGTGAGCCCGGGATCCCCCACACCATGCCGGGGAAGGAATGTGAACCTCGTAGGTCTGGCTCTAAGTCTCAACCTTATCCAGCAGGTCACAAAGCCCCATTTATACACAGCTCCAAAGTTTTATCATAATTCTTTATCTGCTCAGCCCTATATAGCCACGCGGGCAGTCAGGAGACGTTTGGTAATGAAGCCCATTTATCCTCATTTTCTCAATTGGCACACTTAAAGGGCTAATATTTATGTTCACACTGTCCTAATTTTGGATGTCAAAGACCCTCTACCAGACAAGTGTGGCAGGAGGATAACTGAACTGCAGGACGAGTTCCCCAGAGTCTGATACCTGATGTGTTGCTCGTAGGACCAATCATTGCAGCCAAATAGTTACCTTTAATAGTGGGGTGGGAAAATCATCAGAAAGGCTCCCATTTATCAAACTTCTCCTGCATACATGCACCAATATGACTGAATTCTCAGGGTGACACAAAGAGGATTACTGCATGTAACTGATAAGGAAAATAAAGTTCAGAGAGATTTTGTGTGTACACACTTGCTTGTGTGTACTAAGGGGCTGAGCTGAGACTCAAACCCAGATCTCTGACTATAAATTTCATGCCATTTATACCCCATTCCTTTGCCTTTTACAGAAATAAAGTTCGCAAGTTGCTTTAAAATCAGTATACCATACTGATTTTCCATTACAAAGACATGAAGAATAATGAACTTAGGGAAGTTAAAATGTATGACCAGCTGAGTAGTGAGAACTTCTCTGATAAGCATTAGCACATGTCAGGTCAGAGTAGGAAGTGGTGGTATATATTTCACCTATCAATAGGTGGCAGTATTCACCTAAATCTCTCCTAGAGGAATTAGTACAGGTTATTTCATACAACAGCCCCAAGGCCATCTGCATTCTTTGATGTACTGGATTTTTATCATAATGAACAGGGTTGCCAACTGATTCTCGATCATGACTCCATATGATGACATTTGAACTACAAGGTGGTTGAAGGGGAAGGTGATGAGCTATCACAGAGATGTTAAGACGCCTCTCCATTCACAAAATTCATTTGGATCATTTCTCCACAGAGGTATTTTGTTTGCAACTCAAAACCACAGATGTTTTTTGTGTCTTCACTTACTTTAAGATTGTTGTGTAGAATTTTAGAATAAGATGAAATTATATATGCCCTGGCATTTGATAATTTATAAATGTACAAATCAGAGAAGAGTTTATTCAGATTGGGAC